CAAACGTTTTGCCATGGGGTCAAAGCTAGCAAACACTCTGCATCACTGCACTGTGCACTTTAAAAAAAATAGTGTAAATAGCAAAAAAAAAATTGAAATTTGGAGAACAACGTAATTAAAGTTTGGTGATGCTATTTTGTATATGATTTTTAGTACAGCAATTAAAGAAGTTTCTGAATTGATTTTTTTAAGCCAACTAAATAAAACAAATACACAACGTTTCGATACTAAGATTATTTTATTTTAGAGAAAGTGTTCTACTGTTCTTCGAGTGGACGCTGTTTGGGCAACAGTTTTTAATTAAACCTCCTCAAAACGAGCTTATTAAAAAGTTGCAATGACCGGCCCAAAGGTGATAATCAACGCAGCGATATCGGTGGTGGACAGAACGCGCCAATTAAATTGCTGACTGATGCAGTGGCGAACATTTGCCAACTCTGTCCGGTGATGCGTTGTCATAATGTCAAATGGATCGAAGCCCAAACGGGGCCGTGCAAACAAACAGCCGGAGTAGGATATAATAACGGTTATCCGGCAAACAGCGTGACAACTGTGTGCCATATCGTATCCCAGATCCTACGGCTGAATGGGCCACACATATTGCCATTTTCAGCGACCTATGCAATTCCAACGGCCTTGTTGACATTGTCCGGCAACTGTCAGCGGCTTTCGGGGCGAAAATATTAACAAATACTCCCTGTATTTGGGCCTTCAATGTGGCAACGACCCCGCTTGCGGCTGTTGTAACTATAGTGTACGGTTCTGATGGCATGAGTGATATTTTTGCTCTCAATATGCAAAAAAAGAAACTTGAATCGAACATTATTCCACTTTATTGGAAGACCTCTATCAGAATTTACACACCTTTAATTTATCAAAAATCTCTCTTCTTTTATCTCTTCAATATTTAATTCTTGTGTGAATGTTTCTAATATCATCAAAGATATTCGCTTTATATTTATGACAAACATTTGATGACCGTAAAATCTTAAGCTGAGAGAGGACGAATATACATCTAAAAACTGGAGTAATAGCCAATAATCTCAAAATTGCTATTCTCAATAGACCGCAATGTTTTAAGAATACATAAACATAGACGATCATTAGTAACTTTTTTGTATCCAATATTTAACTAAAATGTACTGCAATTATTTATTACAACCCATTATATTATTTATAGCCCATCCAATTGCTGTTTGAATATTTTTAGGTCTTGTATTGTGTAAAAATAAACTTTATATGTTTATATCTGCGATGCCATGCATATATATCTGCACATATCTGACGTTATTGGTTATTGGCCGTCAATATTACATGCGGCATTGGAAAAGTGCTTGGGTAATCAATTTTGTACACTTTTTTTTAGTATCTGCAAGTGCTGATAAATTTTTTGTTGGATAAATTAGTTTTCATAATCGGCCAACTGCGATTTGATAACGAAAAATTTTCTTTCATATTTTGACAAATAATGTGTTATTTATTTTGAAGAAACAACCCAAGCTAACTCAAGCTTAAAGTTCAAATCATTTTGTTTGCAGTATTTTTGGAGACCAAAACTCGATAAACAACCCATCTCCAAACCATTTAAAATCTACATATATATTTTTGGGTGTGGGAAAGCGCAGCGGAAGCGTCAAAATGAACGGAAATTGGCTTAAAAATGACAACAGAAATGCAACAATAGAGGCCAAAAACAATGCCAGTCAAGTGGTGTAGCCAAAAATCGTACACGAGTAGTTGCTCTTTTTGAAGCCCTTGTTCGCTGTAGTAGTCCGTCATGCTATATGTGTATATAAATATGTTTATGTATATAGAAGCAATATCTATTCATGTGGAGTTCGGTTTTTCGATTTTCATTCGGTTTTCATGGCGTTCTGAGCATCGTTTTTGCATTTATAATTTTCAGTTTCAGTGTTTCTCTTGCACACACACAATTTCCTATTAAATATGGCAGCATTTTTACGTCTCGTTGATTATTTTCGCGGTTGGTTTTGTTTTGCGTATTTATTTTGCTGCCTCTGCTCCGCCGTATGTTGTTGTTTTGGGGCCATTTTCCGCTTGGCTTTTTAGTTGCGCTTTGGGCCGGCCTTGTGTGGTCAGTTTTTGCTGCTCTTTTGGGCGGACTGGGCATTAACTTTTGCACGTTACAAGCTTAACATTGATTCTGCGGATACGCGGGGCACGGTCCCATTTTCGGAAACCCACGCCCATTTCCCCGATTTCCCTGTTTTTCCGAATCCACGGCAGATCTGCTGTGTGGACGCCGTGAGCCATGTGTCCGGCTCTTCCGGAGGGCATCATTTGCACAAGAATTGCAAAAATGTTCGCCGTCCGGCCGCTTGGCGCTTGCAAACAAAAAGTTAGCAGCCGTTTTGGCTGTTTTAACTCTGGGATTTAAAAAATGAAAAAGCGACACTTTAACTATACAAATTTTTGTTTCTAGAAAAGTATAGTATTTTAACTAACGACCTTTCTTTTTAAAGTTAGTTTTGTTTATATAAGTTCAGATAAAGCATTAAAAGTATAAATTAATTAAAGAAAATGTTTTCTAAAAATATATTGATACAACCAATATCTATACTTAAAATTGGTTTGAGATTCAAGGCTTTTCTAAAACCAGAAGTGTTTTTTGGAAATTTATGATTAACTGGCGGCTTCTTATTCTTTGGCTTCTACCATACTAAATAAACACTGAAAAATGCTCACAGTTATAAAATACGACGTTTTCGGCTTAGTCTTGAAAGAAAGTCTCAGAGAAAGCTAGTTCAACGCAACGGATGCGTGTTGTTTGAATGAGCTTATATACAGAATGGTTGAGTTCGTTTTGAAATTGCTACGTTTTTCCAGGGAAGTTAAATTAATAATGCTTTTGGTTTCAAAGTGACCAAAAAAAGTCCCAATCGATGTACTTGACGTTGCTCGGATCATTTGATGTTTGCATTCGCCGGGAGTGTCCTTTCCGCAAGCAAAATAAGGGTGGCTTGCGATCCTTCTAAGTTTTTCAATAGAAAATACAATCCCGGCAGTTTCAATTGCCAGAAAAGCTGCATCTGCTCCGCACGCAGACACACGAGCACATATGGATGCGCTCGGTTCCGTTTCCGGTTCTAAATATTGTTATTTCTGCACTGCTGGCAGCCATTGCAACTGTTTCAGGCACTTGAGCAGCATCAGCCACCTGACTGACTGACTGCCTGTCCGTCCGCCTGGCATTCCGGCACTCAGTCCACCCGGAGCCATTTCTAGTCCCGGCAGCAAATGTTTGCTCACTCACAAAGCTTGGCAGCACAGAAAGAAATAGGTTATTAAATTAACAAATTTTAGTCACAAACTGCTATTATATCAATCATTCGATAAATCAAGAGTTTACCTTACTGCAAAATAATACGTATGAATATGAATATGAATTATAAATTCTGAAGTTCAATAATCACTCTATTATTTCCAGCTTATAAAGAAATAAAGTTCCAAGCTTCTATGGCTCCCAAAGTTGTTAATTAAAATAAGTAATTGGCAATTACTCAATAAAATAAAAATATCAAAATATTTTTTGAATGTATTCTTTTAACATTTCCCAACGCTTTATCTCTTTCTCACTGCACCATGTGTATTTTTTTATGCAAATAAGCAAAATATTTTAACAGCAATGTTTTTTGCGCTGTCGTCTGGCCCGCTGTTTGCCAATGACTTGTTGATTTTACAACTTTTCCAATTGAATGATCTTGCTAGGAGAGGAAAACTCATGTTTGTGCCTGGGTGAAAAGTGATTTTCACTCAGTGTCACATCTTTTTTCAATTTTTGATGAAAATGCTGAGTTTAAAATACAAAATGTTTGCAAAACGCGCACTGCAAATATACACTCCAAGTGCAGCTCGAGCTGCGAAGAAGTAATAAAAACATATTGCATTTTCAGCAAACATGCATCAGAATATTATATATTGCATCTATATAATTGCTGGTTGAAAGTGCAGCACGTAAGACTCCGAGGCATTCCCCCAGCTTCTCAATGGAATTGAAAACGTAAATAAATATCGAGATTGGCGACATCGTGGCCTCATTGCTTCATTGTTGTGCTGAAGCTTTAACCAAAACTGGGTTGGGTTCTTTTCGGCATTCTGGAATTTTGTTTACACAAAGCAGCACGTGTGGAAATCGCAAAGAATTGAATGGGGAAAGTGACGGACAAACAAAATAAATATTAAGAGTTGGTCGGGGGGGAATGACACGATATGTCAGTGGAGGACAAATCTATCCCACTCTCTTGTTGTTGTCAACAACTTTTGGCACTTGACACTTAATGTGCATCATTGCGCAGCTGACAATTTCAAGCCATTTCCGTGGTGCCAGCCAAGTCACTTCCACATCTTCTATTTCTTCTTCTGGCGGAGTAAAGTTTCGACTGTTCAAGTTTTGCATGGCCGTATAAAAATCGAATAACAAATTGCTCACAAAAGCAACTGCAACTTGGATGTTGAAGGAGCATGAGGATGGAGACATTTTCTGACATTTTTATGAGCAGCTGCAAAAGATTTCTGTCGTTCGTTAGATTTTTGCTCTGCACTTCCTCTATTCCAACTTGTTTTCCACCAGCAAAATTTGTTGTGCGTGAAAAGTTCTCAAGATGAAGATAGAACTTTTCCGTGTGACTGACTGATGGTGAGCGTGATTTTTGGTTTTTCAAATGTCAGCCGCAGTGTCCCAATGTTTCTGATTGACAAGCATTTTGTGGCTGTGTAAAATGTGAATGTGAATAGGAATGTGTAAATTCAATTGAACCGTTGCCCTGGGAAATTCTGTTACCTTTTGGCCAACAGCTGTCGCTAATTTACAGCCAAGGTAAAACTTTTCCATCGCCTGCATATTGTGTAAGTGGCCCCGAAGTTTCAATTAAGCTGAAAGGACACACACAAGTTTGCTCTTCCACGGCCGTCGCATATTTCAATAAGTTTTCAAACTCAGAAGCGCTGCGCTAAAACAACATAATTCATACTTAACTCACCGAAACAGTTTCCCCGAAAAGTGCCGCCCTAAAAAGGAAGCTGTGCAAAATGGCCAAGGGCTAGCTGCAATGAAAAATGGCAGAGTGAGAAATAAAATTGCTTTAGTGGTGCATACACGAAAAGAAATCAATTGACAATATATACACTCTAAGTCCATAAAAATCTCTTCTTTTAGTGATCCCTTTCGTTCTCATTTTAGTTTTATTTAACAATTGGAACTCTTTGAACTTATAATAATAAACGTTAGCAATTTGGTAAGATTTCTTTGATTGGTTAGACCTTAATTCGTTGAAGAAATAATCCACTTACTAAAAATTGTTCGCTATTAAAAGTGTATGAGTATCATGAGCATGTATTTAAATTGCAAACGTTTTTCTCTGTAGAATTTATACTGAATTTTAGTGTCATTTTCTTTGTGTGCGTGTGCGGTGCGCTAAGTTGCTAAGTTGTTGCTGGGCCTCCTCATAAAACGAAATTAAATTTATGTACAGTTGCAAAGTTGGCGGGAAACGGCGGATGGGTGAGGGCATAAAACTTTCAAAGGCAGCCGGGAAGTGGATCTAAACACGCGGCCAGCCCATCCTGCTCGTAATTCAGAATTCGAGTGGCAGTCGCAGTTTCGGGCAGTAAGGCAACCGCCATAGGCGCCGGATGCACGGCAACACTGCATCCTGTTTTTTGTTGTGGGCGGGATCTGTTCACGCTTGTTTTCACCAGGCCAGAGTAGTAGGCCTGTTTACCCGAAAGAGGAAGCCCCCTTCGCCTCTCGGAACGCGGTCCGAAAACTTGGCCATGCTGCCCGAGGGTGTTTGCGGTGGCTGGCTGCATTGCTGGCCACCTTTGCCTGCCACTTTCAGCAAGCCAAAAACTGGCAACTGCAGAAATCGCAACAGCAACATCAATTGCCAGGACCCAGCTCTAAGGCACCGCGGAAAATTCTGATACTTCGTACATAAAGAATCCCAAACTGTTATGCGTAACCAATTTTGCAATAATTTTTGCTATACCTATCCACATTTACAACGTTTTTAAAACATTAAGTTTATTGTTTTTTGTAAATTCTCTGGAGATTTTCATTAAATTCATTTTCATTAAAACAACACGATCAAAAAGCATCTCAATTAAAATATATAATGCAATATTTACCATCAAGTTTCGACTTTTAATATTAAAGTTAATTTTTTAATTTGCATTTACGACTTGTCTTTAATTCAAATTTGTATTATATGTGTGCAGCTTTTTCTTTAACAAAAAATACAAAAACAAATAAATAATTTAAGGGAATAGTTTCCCCAAAAACTAAACTGCGCCCAGGGTAAATGCGTTTTTTGAGTCAAGTTATTGAGTTGAAAAACCAAGGGTTGTGATTAAAGCCATAGTCGGTTGGAATGCCTTTAATCTCGGTCTCTCTAATCCGTCAACAATTGGCATCCTGCTCAACAATTTTAATTGAATTTCCTGAGTCAATGCAGCGTCGAGTAACTAAGGCCAACGGCCAACAAAAATCCATCTGAACTTTAAAGCACAAGGTGTGTAAAATGAAATAAGAATTGTTCTAAGCATTAAAGAATGGATTCTTACTTGGTCGCAAAAAGCATAAATTTACATTTAAATTGAGAGTTTGCTAAATCTCCAGTGAATATTGTTTTACAACAATACCGATTGTAATTGCTTCTAGTTACAATTATTACAACTTTTATAGATTACTTGTAAAATGTATAAAACAAGAGCATGCTTTTCCAATATAAGAACCTACTACTCCAGATTCATTTATAAGCTAAAATGTGTCGACTATAAAGTGTTTCCTAAAAATTCAAATGTTCATTTAAACGCATATTGCCAATATCTTTATTAAAAGCTTTAAGGACTGGTAAAATAAGGAAATAAAAATGAGTACAAATGGCTGCGGGCGAAACAATGAAAAACGGCAGGGCAGCTCGACATTCGAAACGGATAGGAACACGTGCATTGGGTATTGTATTGGATAAGCTGAAAAATGGAGTCAAAGGAGTCTGAGTTCAGGACCAGTCCGTCTGTGTAATTGCCAAAGGAACGGACTCCGGAGCTGTCTGTTTGGGAATTATTAATAAATTCCTATGTATGCCAGTTGACAAACATGTTGTTGTTGTTGTTGTTGCGTTCGTAACCAACTCTCATCCAGGGACATTTCAATTGTAATTACGTTTATTGCATTGCTTTGGCTTTTGGCTACGAACTTTTTCCTGTTGTTTTCCCCATTTGCCGTCTGTTGTCTGTATCATTGACTGACTTTCGTCCGTGCGGAAAACACAAAAAAAACTGAGTAACAGTAAGCAATTTCGCATATATAGAAACAGATATAGATCCAGATACACCCACGATGGGCTCGAGATACGCACACGAACTGGTCCAGCATATTTTTGACATTTTGTGTAAGCCTGTGCGCCGAAGTATGCAACGTTTCATAATCGAAGGCAGAGATTTACAAGGCAAGTGTGTGAAAAGCGAAGGAAATTGAACGGAAATACTCGTAGGTGACTGGGGAAATGCACTACCATGGCTGCCCAGCACAATCGAAGAGTGTTTGCCCGGTGCAGAGATTTGAATACTAAACAAGAACCTTAAGTGAGTTGTAAAGAAATTTTACTTGGCCGCTTGAACCACAATGACCAACACGCTCTTGCAATGGAAATAAAATAGGAGCAATTCACTGCACGACATTTTGGGCACTTAAATAACATTTTGAGCTTTACGATTCCATTTACGAACTTAGAATCGCTATACAAAAACAACTTTTCCTATGAAAGAAGTATATTTTAATTTCATGTTTCTGACTACATTACATAATTTATAATTATAAATTATATTTATAGTATTATTTCAATCGGAAACAATTTGTTTAATATTTTCGCTTGTATCATGAATATTTATTAATCAGTAATAAAGGCTTTAAAAAAACATATTAAATTCGTTTATCTAATAGGAAAATTGTAGATTTCCTTTTTTTTATTTAAAACTAAACTAAACTAAACTAAATAAAAATGAAAGTATTAAACACTTTAATTTTAACAAAACACCCCTCGGTACCGAAAATATTTAATTCAAAGTCAAAATAATTGGATTTACCATGATTTTTCTCTGGGTGTACCTATTTTAAGTTTAAATTTATTTTTTTATATATTAACATCTTTGTACAGTGTTTCTGATACAACTCCAGGCTAGGGTATGCGATTAGCTGGCTTTTTTCTGCCAAAGGTCCTGGGGGCGAGCACCTTTTTGGCATGCAGGCCGCAAAACTATGCGAAAGCGAATGCGAAAGCCTGAGTCTGTCTACCAAGTGGCATGCAGCACCAGTTTCGTGGGCTTTTGCGGGGGGTCAAGGCCTGGACTTAAACAACTTCCGGAGCATCTGGGATTCGTAATCTTCGGCGTTTCTTCCTGCCACGAACTCGGTATGGACTTGAATGTCCCCACTGAAATGCGAGGCAGTCGTGAATGCAGACTCAAACGCTTACTAGATACAAATATTTTCCGATTCCGTTTTTTTACGGTCCGACATGAATACTCCATGGGACATTTTATAACCTGGCCCGCAGGTGCGGCCTGAGCAAATCAAAATGCTTTTAAAAATTTCATCTTTGGCTGGGCATTAAATTTTAACCTCCCCATATAATATATTTTGACAACTTGCTTGCGACAATGCCAGACGAAGGAGAGTGCTGGCCGAGCCATTTGTGGAATTGCATTTAAAAATCGTTTACTCTTTCATGAGTGGCCCCATTGAAGGACGCAGTGGACGTTGTGGAGTGTTTATGCTGCAATTTGTTGCAAACGCACGTAGGTATCGCACTGCTGGCAATGGCAATCCTTTTTGGCCAACAACATTGTTTTTCTTCATTTTACTTTACTTATGAAAAATACATTCATGTGCCGCACGCTTACACATTTATTTATATGTGCAGCTGTATCAAATTGTGTAGGTACACCTAGGAAAAATACGTAAAATGAAGCCGGCTTGTGTTAGTTATAATAAAAAGCTAAGAAAACTAACAAAATTTGAGTTGAGAGTATTAAATAGGAATACTAATTTCATAAATATTCTAAAGTCGAAGAAAATAGGACTCAAAATTGATGAGCTTTTCGTTAAGCACAAATAAAAATTATTCAATACTCTGAAAATTTTGTCAGGTGTTGTGGGTTCTTGTGGCTTTTGCAACAATGCAGTGTAAAGCGCTCTGGATGCAAACATTTTCCCAAACTCCTGACGCAAGTAAACGCCAGTGAAACAAAGACGACCGGATAAGAAAAAACCCAGAAAGCGCTTGAATCTGTTTGTGTTTGTCAGCAAATTGTGTGTGAAGATGTCAACAAGCTAGTTAACTGCATTTGATCTGCACTTTGCCTGAAACACAAACCCAAACTCAAACTCAAGCCCGAACCCATCTCTCGTTGTGTGGGAATCTATTATTGTTCAAGCACATTTCGCTCCGCAGTTATGTTAGTTTTCCTTGGTTTTCACATTTTTTGCGTCGTTTTTTTTTTTTGTCAACACTCACGTCGCCTAATACTTGGCTTCATGGCCATAGTTTTCCTCTCTGGGTTTTTGTCTTTCGCTCGGGAAAATGTTGTCAAAATGACAGAACATTTTGCTGAAGTTTAAGTAGCATGAAGTGGGAAAACGGGTGGGGCCTCCACGCATGTGTGCGTTTTGTTTGGCAGGACCTGACACGCCCTGTCATTTCCACAGAATTTACCCAGCCCCCAAACATCTTTCCCCTGAGATCTAAAGCGAAAATTGCTAGATATCTAGCTGTTCTTGAAATACTTGAATTATTTTTCTATTCAATTATTACAACACACTTTAATCCAAAAACGGTTAGAATTTATCGTTTAGTTTTCCATGCCAGCTTCTGTTTCTTCTTTATGCTCTTAAATGATATTTGCCTCAATTAAAAGCCTGAAATGCCATAGAAAATGCCTGCAATACTTATATCCATAGCATGAAATAGAAACGCACTCAACTTTTAAAAGTCAAATGCCTGTAAAGTCTGTGCGTGTGTGAACATGCGCCAAAAGCCAAAAAT